CCTGCTCCAGCATGAGGTCTCACCCATGGGAGATAGTCCTCCATTAACTTCTCCAGCATGGGTCCTTTCCAAGGGGTGCAGTACTTCAATAACAGACTGCTCCAGTGTGAGTCCTCCACAGGGTCACAAGTCCTGCCAGCAAACCTGCTCCAGCACAGGCTCCTCTCTCCACGGGGTCACAGCTTCCTTTGGGTACATCCATCTGCTCCAGTGTGTGGTCCTCCACGGGCTTCAGGTGGATATCTGCTCCACTGTTAAACTCTATGGGCTGCAGGGGAACAGCCTGCCTCACCACTGTCTTCACCACAGGCTGCAGGAAAATCTCTGTTCCATTGCCTGGGGCACCTCCTCCTTCTTCTTCACTGACTTTGGTGTCTGCACATATTCCCACTCCTCTCTTCTGGCTGCTGTTGTGCAGCATTTTTTTCCCCTTCTTAAATAGGTTATCCCAGGGGTGCTACCACTGTTGCTGATTGGCTCGGCTTTGGTCAGCGGCAGGTCCATCTTGGAGCCGGCTGGCGCTGGCTCTATTGGACATAGAACTTTTGAGCAGCTTCTCACAGAAGCCACATCTGTAGCCTCCGCTACCAAAACCTTGCCATGCAAAGCCAATACAGTGATGCGTAGCTTCTATAAGAGTCTTAGTGAAAGACCCAGTTCCTAATGTCAAATAGCAAGTGTAGTTAGCTGGAGGTTACAAAAACTTCATACTCTAATTTGCAACAGTTATGCTCCCCTTTAAGCATCCCTCTGTTTAAGAAAATGTCATGGAAGACTCAGCTGTTGTGTGCTTGGGCAGAGAATTCTAGTGATATTTAGTGCATCTCCTCTAATGGACTCACAGTACAAAGTCCTACTTTGATATTAATTAATTTTTTTGTATGGATGCTATTTAACAGGGACCATGTTCTTCATGGAGGATGAGGGCAATACAATGTATTCATCATACAAGGAGAGGCCAAGAGGGCTGGGATTGTTTAGCCTGGAGAAGAGAAGGCTGAGGCGGTATCTTATCAGAGTGTATTAAACACCTGATGGGAGAGGGTGAAGATGATAGTGCCCAACTCTTCTCAGTGATAACCAGTGACAGGGCAAGAGGCAGTGGCCATGTATTGAAAAATAGGAAATAAACTTTTTTTCTAATGTTTAAATTATGTTTTTTCTGGGCAAACTGGAACTATTAGCCCAAAGAGATTGTGTTGTCTCCATCCTTGGAGATATTCAAAACCTGACTAGACATGGCCCTGAGTAACCTGCTGTAGTTGATCCTATTTTGGGAATGTTGAGGTCTGGACTAGGTGTTCTTCAGGGGACTATTCCAAAATCAGTAATTCTGAAAAGTATTTGTCAATAGGTGTCCTGGTTTGTGCCAGGATGAAGCCAATTTTTTTTAACTGATTTTATTTTTCAGTGATGTCACGGTTTGACTCAGGATCAGCAATTGAACAAGCAATAATAATGCTCTCGATCCCCTCCCCCTCCCACCCAGGTAGGGAAGGAGAGAGAAAATTAGGAGACTTTCTGGACTGAAAACTAAACTAGACAGCTTTAATTAAATACTAATGATAAAATAAAATATTTACAATTATATACAAATGTGTACAATATTGCGCAAAACCCTATTGCCTCCCCCCACCCCCAGCAACTCCCATGACACTCTCCTTAGCTGTGAATAGTTCTGAAATGTCCTGGACCGCTGCTGGAGAGAGCAGCAGAGCAGACAGGAGCTGAGGGTAGTTATGAGGGTCAGGAATACATGAGCCTAAGGATCAATGGTGATAGACAGACAGACAGACAGAGATGGAAGGATGGATGGATGGATGGATGGATGGATGGATGGATGGATGGATGGAGTCCTCCCCAGATGCTGACCATGGATGGAAGAGCAGGGAAGAAGCAGAAGGAAGGAAGTTGACTTCCATGATCTCTGGACCTTACACCGAGCTTACGTAGATATATGGATGGAATACTTTGGTCAATTCTGCTGTCCATCTAATCCACTCCTCCCTATGGGAGGGCTGCAGATACGACTCCTCTCCTCCCTGTAGCAGAAGAGGCTGCAGCTTCAACAAGTACAGCAAAGTGAGCTTCAAGTCCTGGCAATAACATAAACATTCCAGTGTTATCAGTCCACTAGCTGTAAAACTTGCTGCTAGTTAAAAGAGAGCTTACTGAAGGAAAAAAAAATCAGGAAGAAATGGCTTCATCCAGGCTCAAACCAGGACATTCACGGAATCACAGAATCTTAGGGGTTGGACTGGACCTCGAAAGATCATCTAGTCCAACCCCCCTGACAGAGCAGGATCACCTAGAGTACATCACACAGGAACACATCCAGGCAGATTTTGAATGTCTCCAGTGAAGGAGACTCCACAACCGCTCTGGGCAGCCTGTTCCAGTGCTCTGTCACTCTCACAGTAAAAAAGTTTTTTCTGATGTTTACGTGGAACCTCCTATGTTCCAGTTTGCACCCATTGCCCCTTGTCCTATCACTAGACTTCACTGAAAAGAGCCTGGCTCCGTCCTCCACTCGCCCTTAACATATCTGTGAACATTGATGAGGTTGCCCCTCAGTCTCCTCTTCTCCAAGCTAAAGAGACCCAGCTGCCTCAGCCTTTCCTCATAAGGGAGATGTTCCACTCCCTTAATCATCTTTGTGGCTCTGCCCTGGACTCTTTCAAGCAGTTCCCTGTCCTTGAACTGAGGGGCCCAGAACTGGACACAATATTCCAGATGCGGCCTCACCAAGGCAGAATAGAGGGGGAGGAGAACCTCCCTTGACCTGCTAACCACACCCTTTCTAATACACCCCAGGATGCCATTGGCCTTCTTGGCTACAAGGGCATGTTGCTGACTCATGGTCATCCTCCTGTCCACCAGGACCCCCAGGTCCTTTTCTCCTACACAGCTCTCCAGCAGCTCAGCCCCCAACCTGTACTGGTACATGGGGTTGTTCTTCCCCAGATGCAAGACACTACACTTGCCCTTGTTGAATTTCATTAAGTTTCTCCCCGCCCAACTCTCCAGGCTGTCTAGGTCTTGCTGAATGGCAGCACAGCCTTCTGGTGTGTCAGCCACTCCTCCCAGTTTAGTGTCATCAGCAAACTTGCTGAGGGCACACTCTGTACCCTCATCCAGGTCGTTGATGAAAATAGTGAATACTACTGGTCCCAGTACCGACCCCTGAGGGACTCCACTAGTCACAGACCCATTATTCCATACCATATATTACACTTAGGCTCTATATTCTACCAAATGTCAAATTAAGGATTCTCCCGCAGAGTCAGATTACCTTGAGGTACATATTGTACTTCACCACCACCATCACCACACACCAGGTATATCCAGATCCCTGAGCAAAAACAACACCCCAGAC